GTCAAGGATTTCACCAAAGCAAACAGAGCAAGAAACACTCTATACGTGGTCTCTTCCTGCCAAGCACACACAATCGTCGACTGTTTTCTAAAGAATACACATTTGGAATCACATGGACTTTTTGAAAAACTGCTTGAAAAAGTCATTTGTGGTGGGCATCGTGGCTCATGGCTGTATTCCCAGCACTTTGGGAGGCTGAGACAGGAGGATCATTTGAGTCCAGGAGTTCAAGACAGGCTGGACAACATAGAGAGACCCTGTCTCTACAAAAAATTTAAAAATTAGTTGAGTGTGCTGACACATGCCTGTAGTCCCAGCTAGGAAGGAGGGAGGTAGGAGGATCACTGGAGCACAGGAGGTCGAAGTTGCAGTGAGCTGTGATTGTCATTGCACTGCAGCCTAGGGGACAAAGCAAGACCTGCCAAAGGAGAGGAGAAAGACACAGAGAGAGGGAGGAAGGAAGGAAGGAAGGGAGGGAGGGAGGGAGGGAGGGAGGGAAGGTGAAAGAAAGAAAGAGAATGAAAAAGAAAGGGGGAATGAAGGAGAGAAGGAAAGAAAAAGAAAAAGAAAGAGAAAAGAAGGAAGGAAGGAAAAGAAAGAGAGAAGGAGGGAGGGAGGGAAAAGAAAAAGTCATTTGTTCTTAATTTAATGCTGGATACAATGGGGGGGCGGGAATCACATAAAGCCATCCATAAAAGCCTTCAGGAATCAATCGGATCAATCAGTAATTAATTCAAAGTCCCATTTTCTGTTTTAGGGGTATGGCTTGAAGATGGTTCTCATTATTAATATCATTTACATCAAGATATATAAACTTGTTTTTCAAGACTCAAAAATCTAAATTACATCTCAACAACATGTGATTGTACCCAGGCATTTCCTCCTGGAAGCAGCAAAGGAAAGAAGGTAATTTTTTGGTCTTTTGGAAGCTGCGCCCTGGTGCCAAGATGCCTCAAGCCAGAACCCCACAGAACAGCCTGCCTGGTGGCGGCCTTGCCTGACAGACAGGCCCGGTGGGCTTTATCAGGCTCTTAGGCTCTTATGAGCTTCCCTACTTGCAAATCAAACATGAATTTATCCTCTGTGGCTCTTTCATAAAAACACTGGCTCATGAGTGTTTCCATTTGTCTTCTTATGGATCTTACAAGTCAGTCTGAACTGCTAGCAGAATAATGGCATTTCCTAAGTCTTTCTGAGGAAGGCCAAAAAGAATGCAATTGCCCAAGATGAACAGGATGCCCTGCTCACTTAATGGACTCCCAAAGGCCTCCTTCACTGGGTGACGTCACTGGGGTGACGTACAGGAACTTCTGTGTGGCCTCGGCTCCCCTGAGACCCAGTGTGTTCCATTAGAGGTAGATGGTGTTTTCCTTCACTCCCCAGTGGCACAGACAACAGCACATGGGGCCACAAGGCACAAACCTGGACTCTACCACTATCTGCACATGTCATTTGGAGGGGGGACTCGGCCTCCCTGAGTCTGTTTTCTTACTTGAATTTGGCAAAAAGAAAAAGAAAATCAATCATACATCAAATATTGATTAAACACTGTGACAATCCAAGCAGAATCAGTTTTTAAGGAAACATAGCGTCCCTTCCTCTAGGAGCGCATGATAAAAATGTGGAATATACAGCATGCCATAGTGGTATGCGCGGGTCAGGGAGGGGCATTCACAGATGGGCCAGGGAAGGCCTTAAGGAGGAGGTGACTTGTGATTAAAGACCTGAAGGAGGGGAAGGAGGGCACGCTGCGGACTTCAGGGGGAAGAGCCCTCCAAGGGAAGGAATGACCCTGAGACAGCAACAAGCTGGGTGTGTGGGAGAAACAGTGTGACCAGAGCAGGGAGAAGGAGAGGCAGGAGGAGGAGATGAGTTCAGAGAGACAATTAGGGGACAAGATCATCTAGGGAAGGGGTTGGCACACTACAGCCCTGCCACCCATTTTTAAAAATAGTTTTCTGAGAACCACAGCCATGTCCTTTGGTTTACACATTGTCTATGGCTACTTTCAAACTACCACAGTAGTGGTGAGCACTTGTGACACAAATCATTTAGCCCACAAAGCCTAAAATATTTACTATCCAGCCCTGTATAGAAAAGGTTTACCACCTCTGCCTTAAAGAAATAGGGGCTAATTTTTCTCCATGTTAGGGAGTTTGGAGTAGGCAGTGCAGAGGTGGTGCAGAAGCTCCATGATGTTAAGAAGGATCCAGACACCTTTGATCTTTATGCTCTGCCAGCCTCAGCATGTGGACATGTTGCATTATGATCTCAATGTGGCTGCCAGTGCTCCAGACATTACACATCATGTCCCCGTTTGAGACAGGCAGGCAAGAGAGACATCTGTTCCTTCTACAGGAAAGCAAAAATTATCTCCACCATCCCTCAAATCTCTCCTCCCCCAGCCCACTTTCCCCTGTCTCTATGCCTAGAAGTAGGTCTTATGGCCACTTCTGGCTTCAAAGGAAGCTGAAAAAAGCTACAAAAAGGATTTTCAAGACTGACTTAGATAGCTGTTTATTTTAACTGTAACCCACAGGGAGAAGCACACATAACTGAAACATAATGCAAACAAAAAGTTCCATAAAACACAACTTATATTTACTATTTGTGCTATACACTGATATTTTCTCTTCCACTTTTTTAAGTACTAGTCATATCATCCCCTAAATTAATTTCATGACCTACTACGGGGCATGATCTGTAACTAGGGGCTGGCATGTTGCTGCTACAGACAAGTTGTTTTTTCTCTCTCCTTTCCCTCCCTCCCTCCCTCCTTCCCTCTTTCCTCCTTCCTTCCTCCCCTCCATACTTCCCTCCTTCCTTCCTCCCTCCCTCCCTCCTTCTCTCTCTCCCTCTCTTCCAACTTCTTGTCCTTTTCCTTCTTTCCTATCTCTCTTTCTCTCTTTCTTGTTTCTAAAGAAGGGAATGGACATTGGCTGGCAACCGACAGTAACCGCAGCCTCTACCATAAGGGAGCTGGAGACCACACCCAGTTCTATTGAACCTGAAAGAAAAGGTGGCCCCTCCTTCCTAAGAAACTGAGGACGGTGACAATGGACACCCGTGTCCAATGTTACATGCAAGCACTCACAGCCATAAAAGAGAATAAAACTGTGCCCTTTGCAGCCGCGTGATGCAATTGGACGTCATTATCCTAAGCAAACTAATGCAGAAATAGAAAATCAAACACCACATGTTCTCACTTATAAGCAAGAGCTAAATATCAGGTTCACCTAGACATAAAGATAAAAGCAACAGACACTGGGGACTCCAAATGCAGGAGGGAGGAGGGGGAAGGGGTAAAAAAACTTCCTATTGGGTACTATGCTCACTACCTGGGTGACAGGATCAGTAGAAGCGCAAACCTCAGCACCATACAATGTGCAATTGTAGCAAACCTGCACATGTATCCCCTAAATCTAAAATCAAAATGGAAATTTTTTAAAAATGCAAACAGTAATACCAACTGCCCAGGAGTGCTGAGGGAACTGCACGGGATCCTGGGTGTAAAGCACCAGCATAGTGTCTAAGCCACAATGCCTGCACAGGACACATGGGGTTGCTGTCCCAAATCCAGTCCTCACTCAGAGCCAGTCATGGCCCTGTAAATAGCATTAACCAGGTCAGAGAGAGTCATTCACGCTCGAGCTCCAGAGAGCCCAGGGAAACTGGATGTCTCCCTGGTGCTACGTTTACTTCTCCTATTAGTAGTGATTAAATTCTTAGGATCTCATGTTCAGAAGTTGACAGCTATATTGAATTTTACCTACTGTTTTAAAAAACCTTTGGAAACACCCAATTATTGGTCTCAGCTTTGATGAGGTCTGCCTGGGCTGTGGAAGAGCAAATGTGTCATGACAAGTCACCCACCACAGGGACCCTCAGAGCTGTCAAAGGATGGGCCATTCTCCAAAAATTCAAGCAAAGGCAGAAATGGAAGGGCCCCCGGACTGGGCATCTTTAGTCCTGTCACTCTTTGCAGGTGGGGGTTGCAATTTAGGTCATACAGCAGCCATACAAGCATTGGCACAGCCCCTCTAAGTCGGGGTTCAGGGACTTATGAGACTCAAATTCCAGGCTGATTTTGGTGCATGTGGCCACCTGCATTTTCTAAAAGATCCATATCAGATTCCAAAATGGCCATGAGACCCTAAAAATAATAGGAAACGCACATTGAATGAAACCAAAACTATTTATGTTAGGGGTAGGAGAGAACAGGTCCAGAGGTCAGAGGTGGGAATGGTGAGATAAAGCAGAAATTGCAAATGTTTTCCACCAACCCCAGCCCCAGCCATGCCACCCCCACACCCCAGAAACACTGAGCTGGACTCAGTTCCCCAAATGGCCTGTGGTTTTCTGTCCTCTCTGCCTCCGTGCTGGCGATTCTTCGTGCAAGAGGCGGTGACTGGGAAAGACTAACTTCTTATTTACCGGATCGGATTTCTTAAACGAAAAGGAGTTCTAAGGCCATGCCAAGCAAACAGCCAGACTGTACAAAGGTGCCCCTTAAGCAATAAATAACAAAAGCTCCGGGTTTACCGATAAGCCTCCCCAGACTCCACGCCCCACCAGGCATGCATGCAAGCGACTGCAGTGAATGCAGCGCCTGCGCAGCGGCCTTTGTTGGCAGTCCAGGAGTCCGCGTTACCCCCAAAGTCCCTGGCCGCCATCCGCATTCCGAACCCCTCGGGGCTGAGTCGGGCTGCTTTCTACAAGCGTCCCGGGGCTCCCTCGAGAACTTAGGAGACGCGCGGCGCCCTGAGCAGTGGCCTGGGAACACCTGACACACCGCTCACCCCAAACCTTCCCCGCCGCCCCTAGGGCACCGCCCGGCTCCCCGACCATACCCGTGTTCCCGGGGCGGGGCGGGGCGGGGCGGACGGGGCGGTGCCATTGGCCAGTGCGGAGTGAGGGGCGTGGCTGGGGCAGGACGGAGAGGCCGGGGCGGCGCCATTGGCCTTGCGGGGAGAGAGGCGGGGGCGAGAGGCGAGGCGAGGGGCGGGGCGAGAGTGGGCCTGGCCCCCCAGTCACTGAAACTCGGGGGCAGCAGGCGCTGCGGGCGCAGCTCTGGAGCAAGCGAGGGCACGACACATGCAGTGGCTTCTGGACTGCGCGATGACTGGACGGTGAGTGATGCACGAGCAGGAGAGTGCGTGGGCGTCCATGGAGCACCCGCTCCGACCCGGGACTGCCACCAGGCAGGGACGCTAGAGCCTGGGCACTTGTACCCTTCGGCCGCAGCGCGTAGGGTCCCTCCCCCTGCCAGCCTGGCGCATTGCGGGCCTCTGGCCCATTGCTGAGAGTGGGCACTGCGCCTAGCACCTCTGCTAAGCACTTTAAGGGCTACACCTGAGCACGGCAGGCGAGCACGGCCACTGGCTACACCTTTTTTGTTCACCTTGCCCTTAGCCAGTTTCCTAGAAGCACTGATCCTAGAGTTGAGGAGAGAGCCTAGAGGCCTCTGGCACAACTCTGATTTCACTGATGGAAATCCAAGACTAAGATAACAGCAGCAGGGGTCTGTCTCACAATCTCTGTCTGCAGAGGGCTTGCCTTGCGCTGGGCTGAGTGCTTTATTTATGCCTCACAGCAAGTGAGATTCCTAGTTTCATTATCCCGTTTTCAGATGAGAAAATTGAAGCTTAAAGAGTTATAAAATTGACCACCTTTACTGAATGAGTTGGTAGTGGTGCTAGGATTTGAAACCAGGGCTTGGTATGCCTCTGCGTCTCTTGCTGTTCACCTCCAGTCTCTGGAGCTAAGCCTGCCTGCTGCTCAGCTCTTCTGGGCTCCTGACTCTGGTCCCGTCCTACACTTCCCACTTCCAAAAGATTCCTCCGTGTTTTCATTAACCTAGCATGGCCGAGGGAGGGAGGTCTCCTCTCACACCATGATCAGTGCCCAGGCCGGGGCCAGCACTTTCTTAAAACACGGTAAGAAGAGCTTCAGGAGCCCCATTTCACAAGGAATTAAATAAGGTCGCACAGCAAATAAGGGCTGGGATACTGGAATTTGAACCCAAGCAGGTTAGACTCCAAAGTCATGCTGTGCACTCACAGAGGAGACTCTCACTGGCTTTGCTGTAGTTTAACTGCCCACAGTACTAAGGTGTCAATCAGGATTTGTTGCCAGAAATCATTTAAAAAAAAAAAAAAAGCTAGAAGTGAATTGGTGAAGTAACAGATAAATGTAGACCCTCCTGCCTTCTGTTCTGTGGCGTTCCTTAGCTACTGCTGCCAGGACAGGAGCTTAGAGGAGAAGACGGAGGGAGAGAGTCAGGGGAGAAAGAGGAAGGGAGAGAAGAGGAGAGATGAAACTCATTAAGCTTCGGTTAAAAAAATGCTGACTGGAAATTGTCATGGGCTGTTTCAGCACTTTGTCAGTGTATGTGAAGGCTGTTGTCATTAGTTCTAGCCATAATTCTCTCTGTGTGTAGTGCTGGTGATTTGACGATAAAAAGGTTGATGCCACAGATTAAAGTGTTCACCTGAAACTCAGGAGATGGAGCTGTATTTCCACCATGAACACTCCAGTGAGTGGCCTGGAGGTCGAGAACAGAATCAAGGTCCAGGGTCCCCCTGGATCAGGACCAAGTGGACCATGACAGATAATAAAGAACATGAATGAAACTTGGGTGTGTGTCAGAGTTCAGATTCTAAAAGTGCAAAGCCTCAAAGGAGAGACCCTAACTAGGGGGTCTGCCAGAAAGCCCTCTGCCCTGGGTCCCTGGGGCCTGGGGCCTGGTTTCAGGGGTCAACTCAGACTCTCTCCTCACTCATGGCCAGTCCTGCTGGGAGGCCTCACATTCCCATCTCTGGGAACCTGTCTCTCCAGATCCCCCGACTCCCAGTGTCAATAAGAATAGTAATGGGAGCTTCCTTTCATTCGGGTGAGGCTCACATAAGGCCCATCTTACAGGTCTCCTTGTTCGTCTTCACAAAAGTCATTGAGGATGATAGTTATTTAATTGATGAGGAGCCCAGGGTTCAGAAAGGGAACATTACTTGCTTAAGGTCACACAGCCAGAGAATCACAGAGCAGGGCTTTGAACCCAGAGGCTTGCAAACTCTAGATGGTTATTCTTTCATGGAGTACATTTGGAGAAACTGTTTAGAAGTAAATAAAAATCAAATAGGAAGTGGCTGTACTTCCTGAAGCTTCTGCAGTTTTCTTTTTATTAAAAAGAAACTTGTAATTCCTGGGATCCCCTTTTCTGGCTGTCTGACCCTCTTCCCTAGGATGTACTGCTGAGGAAGAAACCTGGTACCCCCTCCCTTTGCCCTGCCTGGCCTTGGGAAACAGGGGTGGGATGTCATTCAGCCCCACAGCTGAAGACCCCAGCCCTTTAGTGCTGGGAAGATCCCTGAAGACACTCTATACCAGCTGCCACAACAGCTCTGGCTAAACTGAGGCCTGAGAGAGGTCACAGACCAAATCGATGCCACAGCAAAACTCGCATGCAAGCCTCTATGACGCTCCTCTTTCTTGCTGCGACGTTTCCACAGAGATTCTAAACCTGGGATCTGGGGATCTGGGAGACGTGGACAAGAGTTGTCTCACCCCCTGCAGTGGTATGCAAAGTGTGTGTGTGTGTGTGCATATGTGTATGCACATGCATGCGGACTGCAACAACATGCACACACATGCATTTTCTGGGGTGAGTGCACTAAGCTTTCAAGAGACTCCAAAGGACTCTATGACCCAAAAGATTCTGAGACCCTTGTGTCTCACAGGACCCTTGTGCCCCCAGCCGCGACATGTGGCACACAGGCCGGGGGCAGTGGATAGCACGGGTGGGGGCAGCCGTCAGAGCGTCCAGAGCAGCCCTGCAGCAGCTGGCACCCAGAGGGGTCTGTGCCTCTGCACTGCACTCCCAGCCCCAGGCAATCGGGATGTTGGCCAGTGCCCACTGTGAGCACCTGTCGGCCTGAAAACCATAGCTGAGATCTTTGTTTCTGTGGATCCCCTTTTCCATAGATGGGAGGTGAGCCTGGTTGGTGGGGAAGTTGGAGTGGTTCAGAGGGTTCCGGGGCCAGGGAATGTATATTTAAGGTGTAGGAGGGAGCAGGAGGACTGGAAATGGTTTTCTCGTCCCAAATTGCTTTGCCTTGAAACAAGGGCAAAAGTCAGAAGTCTTGCCCACTGGGAAGGCTGTTCTGCAATCTACATGGGTGCTCAGAGCCAGGCTCTTAGAGAAAGGGGAGCTGTGTCAGGGAGGCCTGGATGCTGGACTGGACTCAGGGACCTGTCAGTGAGAGCCCAGGACTGCAGCGAGGAGTAAAGTTGAGCCGGGCCTGTGTGGTCAGCCCAGGGCAAGGCAGGAGTGGAGGTGGAGGGGAGATCTGTGCCCGCCTCTTCTAGACTTCCCTAGCCTCCATCACCTCCACCTGCACAGTGCAGAGTCTTCGGGGCAGGCAGGAGTGAGTCGAGCCAGAGGGGTGATGATGGGAGTGGAGAGGGGAGGTCTGGTGATTGGAACTGGCCAGCAGGCGGGGACAGCAGTGTGGGAGGAGGTGGGAGTGGCAGCTGCTGAGTCGTTGCCTTCCATCTACAACGGGACAGCCGGTTCTCACCACAAAAATGCTTGGCTGAGGATACCCCCTCAGAGGCACCCGGTGCTGCAGACACTGCAGCTTCTTCCCCGGCCAGGCACCTGCCATTTGCTGGCTAACATGTGCTAAGAGGGCCCTTTTAAAGGTTCATTGTCCTCGGCACCCTGCTGCCACTGTGGCATTCAAATGTGGTAGCCATGGACTGCAGCGGGAACTGAGTCCCCCCAGGAATACCGGCAGCGTGGCCTGCACCTGCCCCGTGGCCTGCGCCTGCCCCGTGGCCTGCGCCTGCCCTGTGGCCTGCACCTGCCGTCGTCCTCCAGTGGGAGCAGCTCAGGTCCCCAGCTGTGCCCCACACCCTGTCCTCCTTTCTTTTGCTTCTCAGGTCACTGTCTTTATGAGCTATTTGATTTAATCATGTTGAAATAAGAAAATAAAAATCACAATTTCAGGAAATGTTAAAACAGAGGTAACCAAGCTCTCAGACATCACAGACATGCTTAGAACATTTTAATTTGGATGCCCTTACATTTTCCCTTTTGCCTAGTGAGTACAACACCATCTATGTGGGCCATGTTTTTTGTAAGAAGGGACATTGTCAGATGGAAAAGTAGGCAACACATAGTCTTAAAATAAAAGGCTTTCAAGTGGACTCAATTTCATGTCATGAAAGCCTTACTTCATTCGCCATCCCCTGCTCCTTTTGCCACTGGCTTGTAGGAATTGGGCCCCGGGGGTGACTGGAAGAATCAGTCGCCTTCTTCTGTAATGCCTGGCCCCACAAACCCATAAAAGGAAAGACAGCCCATGCCTAGCAGCTCTAAAGCCCTCAGAGGCCTTTGTCCCTCAGTAGCGACAGCAGGCGGTGGTGCTGGCTGTAAGCTCTCTCTGCACGGTGGCAGAGCAGCTGCTGAAGTGGAAAGGGAGAACAACTCGCTGCTTGTTCACTGGGACAGGTAGCCGTGGCTGGCAAGCTGCCCAGGGCCCTCCTCTGGGGCACAGAGAGCCCTGGCTACAGCCGAGCACTCCAGTGGGGACACAGTGTCCTCCAGCCTGGGAAATAGGCGTGGAGGCCTGACTGTGTCCTGGGGCCTGGGGGAGTGGGGAAGGCCAGGACAAAGAAGGCTGGACTTTCCCAGCAGAATGGCAGGGCTGGGGGGAAGGGAGGGCCCGCTGGCTGACTTGGCCTGTCCAACTGCATCTGTCACTCTGTGGTTTTGAGCCTGAGCCTGGGTGGCAGGCCAGCCCCAGCCCATCCTCTCCCGGCTCCTGCTGCCACCCATGCAGCCTCACTTTAATCCATTTGTGTAGTGGGCTTCTGCCTAGTATCTAGTTTCAAGATAAGGTTGTGCTGTTTATAAAAGGTTGAAAAATACTCCAGTAGAGATTCTCAAAGGCCCTGCCTCGTGCACTTGGAGAGTCAACGCAAAAGACTTCCAGGAAAATGCTCCAAATGGAGAGATGGCTCCCTTTCCTCTCCTGTTGAGTGTGCATGTTCCCCCTTGCAGCTTGCTCCTGCTACAGCTGTCTTTCAGACACCCCTGAGATACTCATGCAGCTCACTGTGGAACTCT